GCAACCTGTTCCAATATTTGACCACCATTACAGTTAAAAAGTTTAAATGGAATTTCCTGCATTTCAATTTGAGCCCATTGCCTCTCATCCTGTCAACGGACACCACTGGGAAGAGTATGGATTTGTTGAACTCAGTGCCATCATCCAGGTTATTAATGAAAATGTGAAACAGTATTGGCATTGCATTTTGACATAGAAAACATACTTCAGACAATCTGCACCTTTTTAACATTAGTGAAAATTCAAGTTATGTCCTTGGATAACCCATGCTGGCACATCACCAAGGTAACAGAGGCAGAGGGGAATCAGAGCTAAGGAAGTTTCTGGGATAGATAGAACAGGCTACGGGGGGATCAGAAGCAAGCAGTTACTAAGAAAGAGAGGTCTGGAATAAACTTTTCCCCACATTGCCTAGAAACATACATAACCTTCACTGCTGCTGAATCACAGGGGGGTTTTTTGGTTTGTTTGTTTTTTTTACAGATAACCCCTGAAATAATTATTCCATTCTGGCTGGTGCTGGAATTTTGTGTCCAAGTTGGCACACTATGTTTTAAGAAAAATATGCACAAATTTAAGGTAATCCTAAAGAGAGCAAGAAGAATTAGAAGTGTAGAAAAGATTGCTGAGAGGAAAAGTTGGAAAAAGAATGTTGGAAAAAAGAAAACTAAACAGTCTTCCAGTGTCCTAACATTCATTACAAAAAGGATGCAAAGGATGAAATTGGCTTAATTTGCAGACAGAAAGATTTAGGTTAGATGGTAGGGGAAAAAAATGCATAAAATAAGGCTAGCTTTGGACTTGAGGCTACCTAGAAAGTTTAGACAGGTCAGACAAACATTTCTAACGACGATCCTGCCTCCAAGCAGAAGAACAAGCTGGGGGAAACTCATGAGAACTTTTCTCTGCCTTTTATGACAGTATATTTCAAAGGCTGCTGTACCCATTCACAAGGTTGCAGAAAGGTTTACAGGATTAAACGTTTAAGAGTTAATAAAACACATTATCAATTCTACACTATTTCTTTGTTTTTTCCCATCGAAATAGTAATTGTTTGTGAAAGGGCTAACACTAAAGAGCAACTGCCAGGGATCATGCAAGTTCAATTCCCATCTGATCATTTTAATGATGCTTGGTGAGAATCTGTTTTTGTGGAATTAACCTCAGTTCTTTGTTCCCTTTAGTTATTTGAATCTGCATCCAAAACCCATAAGCACAGCTCTATGTCCCCAAATGAAAATGGTGATTGAAATGAAATTGGGATTGATAAAGATTCTTAGAACAAGCCTGTAATATTTTCATGATCTTTATCTGAACATCTGTCCTTCCCCCTTATAGAAGGGGAGAGTTACAGCTCCAAATACTCTTGCATGATGGTCCAAGAGCCCAAGGTGCAGAAGTCCAAATGAGCAACAAGCTTGGTGGTGTGGCCCAATCCAAAGATCTCTTCAAGCACTCTGTAATAGGCACATGTCTGCTGGGCTGCCCTTGACGTGCAGTAATTCTAGGGCAACAGGCAGGAAGGAAAAAAGGGAGAAATGGATTTTGAGAAAAGTGCGCCAATGAGGAAGGAGCAGCAGAACTGCAAAAAACCTGAAGGCAAATAGGTAGGGTCACATGGAACTTGGGGCTTTATATAGCCCATGAACCACTTCAGAGAGTTGTGAGAGCTCTGGGTGGTTGAGAGCTCTCTGGTGGTGCATGGACATTTGGTAGCTGCTGGAGGACCTCACAGCCTGCACCCTGGTTTGGTCCCCATCAGGAACTGGAGGGAATTTGGACTGAATTTCAAGCAGAGCTTCTGGTTTAGCTTCCTCCAAAAAAGCTACCTAGGTTGCTCAAGGTAAGTAGGGGTAATCAAGTGATTTGCTTCAAAACTGCACTGCTCCAAAACAAATCACTCATCTAGGCAAAGCCTAGCTCAACCTAGTCCACACTAAGGTGGTCCTATTTTCCATCCTCCCCACACCTCCATGCTGCTGCCCCATCTGCAGCTGTTGGGGAGCAGGAAAGGCCAGCTGTTCCCTAAGGAACAGGGAACCTGTGGCAGGGCATGGTAACATGGCCAGCAGGAAAGTGGTCTCACCAATATCCAAGCAAAGCAAGCCCAAAGATGGTAGTCAGGTTCAAGAGTTCAGATCATCAGGCAAGTTTATGATGATGAGGCAGGTCCAAGATCAAGGTGAAAAGTCAAGCTGCAGGTCAGGGTTACATCCAGTGACAGTTATTAGAGTCATATGCAGTTCAGTGATTGCTAGGCAGGTCCACAGCAATATGGAAGGCCCAAGGAGTAGTGTAGGTCCAAGAGCATAGCTCAAAAAAGTTTTGAAAGCCCTGGGCTGAGCTTAAATGGGGCTCTTGGGCGCACAGGCAGCAGGTGTGGGTGGAGTTTCCAGGCGAGACTTGTCAAGGCCATTAAGGCCTATTAGTGCCACTCAAGGCCCAGACAGTTGCAGACAGGCAAGAAAATTTAGGGAGCTGATGTGACTGAAGAGCCAGAAGGTTTCTTCTGAATCAGCACCTGATGTGTGTGTATGAGCTCTAGCGCTGACCTGAGGGAAGGAGGGAGGAGGTGCAGCCAGTGGAAGGGGAGAATGTGGAACTAACTGCTCAGGCCAGGCTTCCATCAGCCTAAGGTGCCACAGAGCTGCACCTGAAGAAGTCATGTAAGTAGGCAGTAACAGATGAAGAAGGACCCATCAAAAAGTGTGCATGCTTTGATGGAAAAATGTGACCTCATCTTTCAAGAGCACTATCCTCAAAGTTTTTGCCTACCAGCTTGCATGAGGAAAAATAAACCTCTCTAGATTAAAGGCTAACGGTAACCTTGTATGCCATTTTATCTAGTCTTCAGTCTCATTCTGAAATCTTTAGACAGTGCAAAAACCATAAGCACCATCTGACATCTGATGCCTGAGTGACTTCAGCTCATGTTATTGGAACAGTCAGTACGCATTTGGTTGGGTATGTGATTTTGTGGAGCTCATACAAGGTAGTATTAGACTTTGCACGTCTGTTTGCAGATACAAGAGCATTCTCCAGACCCACCACTCAAGCAATTTCCAAATAAAGTCTGTAAATGAAACATCCATTTTGCAGCCCTCTCCCATAAGCAGCTCCTTTCTTTGCTAAGAAGTGCTGTCACTTGTTCAGGTCTGCATAGGAGCCTAAAGCAGAAGCTCATAAATCATCTTTTCTACTGTGCCACCGAAAATCCTCTACCTCCGTGACCTCCCATTGCCTATCTATAACCCCATCCCATAAGCAGTGGTCATACACCTATGAAGAAAAACACATTCTGGGGAGAAAGGAGCCATTGTGTGAAACAGAGGTAAGAACTATGCTTGTACAGGAAAACTCAGCTTCTGGTGAATAAGCCATGAGGTGGGACAAAAGGTCATGCAGACCCTTGCATTGCGTGAAGTTTTACTAGTCCCCAAAGCCCAGTCAAGCTGCACACCTTCTTGGGAGGAACAGGTCTGGCTGACCATGCAATTGTTTCAAATGTTACAGGAACATACGGCAAGAAGTGCTAAAGCCCTCTCCACATCTTCAGCAAGATTCATGCAAGAAAGGGCCAAATTTTGCTTCCAGCTGTGTCCACCAATATTTTTAAGAGAGATAATTACTGCTAGATACTATTGGGAATCGCCTGTTTATACTAGAAAAACAATGCTGTTACAGGAATATGCATAGTGCTTCTGGACATAGGGGCAAGGGGTGCGATTTATTATATCAACATTGTGTCTGGTAAGAGCCTTCTCATTCCAGTTGTCCTATATTACTGAAGTGCACTGAGTGCAAGGTTTTGCTGGAACAACAAAAAATGCAGGTGGGGATGAATGTCATCCCTGAGTCATGCAGATGCTAAAGCTTTTTCATGTAATTTCTGCCGCTCCTGATGAGGGCAGAATTTGACACCTTGCCCTCAAGTTCTCTTTCAACAAAAACTAAGATAGAAACAGAAAATAAGTGGCTTGTTACTTCCTCTCAATGTCTATGGGACTGTGGTGCCAACAAGACTGATGCAAAAGGAAACCATTTTCATTAGTTGTTAAAACAGCAGAAGCTTGTTTTACTTTGGCTGCAACATCCTTCTGACTCCCACGCAGGAAGTATTCATCCAATATTCCACATAGGCAGAATATGTCCAGTTCCTAGAAGTCCGAATACAAGAAACTGTAGTCCATTTTAGAAACTACACTGATCTTGGATTATAAAAGTGAGAGGTAGTCTGCTTTCACACGTAACCCTGGGCTACAGTTCCTGAGTTCTTTTTCCTGTCTTTGTCCCTAGACTTTCGACAATCTTTGGCAAAACACATCCTTCCAGTGTGTGCCTCACCTGTAAAACAAGGCTAATGACCAACAGGTGAAAGAACAGGCGTTACTGTTATTTCATGGACAACCTCCTACACATAATAAAGGTACCTCTGAAGGGGGAAATTCATTATTACTGGTTTCTAAGTGTGCCTAGGTAAATTCTACTATGAGAAAAATAGCCACTATTCCACTACTTCTGTTCTTTTGCACCAAAGCAAATGAGTCAAGTGGCTTATGAAACTGGCCACATCACTGAGAGGGCATATTGCATATTCACAAGAGCTTAAGATTGTTTTATTTACACTTTCATTGCTAGGGGCTGTGAAATGGAACAGAATTCTATTTACCAAATACTCTTGCTAGTGCAATAAGTTAGAGGATTTCTCAATTAACACATGGAGCTTACATATAAAAGACAAGAGGTTAAGCAACACTGCAGTGCCCAATGGACCATCTGGTGAACATTAGGATTGTCAATAAATCATGAAAGCACCAGTTCATCAAGAAAATTCCATTTCAAACCACTGACAGAAAAAAAAAAAGGATGGGAAAAAACTCACAAAATTGGTATTTTCATCTTTTATAAAAACAGGAGCATTAAATAACTTTAATCTAATTTCAATTGTTTTATTGGTTCTCTTCTGATGACCACATGGCTTCACATACTGAATGTTTAGCCCTTTGTCTTGCACACAAAAGCATTATGAAATAACTTGGTGCATCACCACGGGAGAAGCTCATCTCTTTCCTCTTAGTCTTTCTCCTCACCATGGGTGATAACGTAACAGAGGTTCTTATAGTCAAGATTACCAGAGACATCTGGAGGGAAAGCGGCAAACATCTGGTTGATCTGCCAAGCAAAGAGGAGATAAGTGTTACAAACATAGGACTGTGGGACAGCAACGTGTACTGCTTTTGATTTTCAACCCAGTTCAGCTCCCTTCTGCCTTGATCTATTAACCACTGTGGAAAATTTTTCCTTAGCTTCAGTAAAATTGAAATAGGAATTAGGACACAACTAGTTAATACAGTCCTGCTATAATCCCAACAAGTTCCCTGTCAAAAAGAGCTCTCCCTGAAATCCAGGTAAGCCCTGGCCAAATAATGTACTACAGTCTGCACCCCAGTCTGTTCTTGCCACGAACCAATTCCACTCAATCTCTTCTTCTGAAAATAAAGTCCCTCTAAATTCCTCCCAGCCAGCAGAATCTGTGTTCAGTCTCACACAAACCACAAAGTCAGTACCTCATTTCAGAACTCATTTCAGATTTCAAACAAAATAACTCTCACAGGAATGGAAACCAGGTCACAGTCCCCACCCAAACCCACTTGAACTCTAGTAAATTCATTGCCGAGCTCATCATAGGAAAGAACAGCAAGAGATAGGCCGCGCTTACACTTGGATGGAAGTCCAAGGAATCTGTTTGACTTTGATTTAGCCATGGAGCTATTCAGAAGAGATGCTTTCAATTGTTCCTAATTGCTAGAACTGGCATCAGCCTTCTCTCAATCTGGATTTGAGCTGAATTCATGCATTTAAAGAGGGACAAATACTTATTGCTGGATAGTAGCTGGAGATAGATTCCTATTTTGAATAAAGCAGAAGGTCCTTACCTCTTCTTGACTGAACCGGTCTGCCTGTGTCATAAGCATTTCTTTGATGCTGTTCAAATAAAACGAAATAACCTGATTAAAGGGTGATAATGGCACATGACAATTCAGATGGCAAGATCCCTCCTGAAGTCGCATGAAAGAAAATCTGTGTGACCGCATAAATTAGAGCTGTTAATCCTTACATGATATTGTAAGAGATTTTCTGTGGGCACCCATCAGTGTCAATGCCTCGCTCTGCCAACTTATTTTGCTTTTGTGACATTTTATAGAGGTTTAAAATTGTTTAAGGTTATTACTCTAATTGAAATACAGCAATTTTGTATGCTTATCTTAACCTAAAATGGTAGGTTTTCTCACTTACTGTTTAAAGTTTGGATCACTTAACAAAACCAAAAGAGAGAATATTTTCTGTAAAATCTGGGGATGAAAGGAACAGAGCATGAAATGAGAAAGAGGACTTAAAAGAGAACTCCAACAGCTATTCCGAATCATCATCTGAGAATCCCTTTATTTGCATGCAGTCATTCCCAGAGGAGACTGTGAAACTGCATGAGACCTGTTGTATTTCACGGTACAATGTCTTGATCTGGAGTTACAGCACTGTAACAAGGAGCTTATCCCACACACAATCTGCATCCTATGCAATTACATCAAAGAGAGTATTTTTGGGACAGACCCTCAGCTGATTTACCCTCTGTTTTCAAACCCATTGTGGGAAGTCAGTCGAGCATGTAATTTTTTTTACCTAAGTTTATAGGTGAACAGAAAAGCCAGGAAGAATAATTACTCTTTCTAGCCTAACCCCTTTAGATAAAATGTCTTTGTATTTCACCCAGTTACTCACGTGTTGAGGGCAGTACATGCATGATGTGCTAGAACATCCACCAGTATGAACTCAGTTATATCACATAAACATCCCTTTCACTTGCACTAATAATTTCCCCTTCCTGTAGAAGAATTCCTATATTAATCTCAAAGAGTTTGCATTCGCACTGAAGAGGCAGAGTGGTCTCCTTTTGTTACTACCAAAGGTATTTATACATTATCAGGATCTTTTCTAGATCAGTAAAGCAGAGTATAAACCTGTGATAACAGATGAGCAGTCTGTTGTACAAAAAAAAAAAGCTGAAACAAGTATAGATATCTGTTTTAGTTTGTAGATTTGAAAAAAGGCTGCTTTTTTGAAGAATTTGTTGTGGGGGAGTGAGAGCAATAGTTTTCTGGAAACAGCCCTTTCTGCTTTTTAAAGTGAATATTTGAAACTAACACTTTATAATAGAAATCATGCCTGCACAGGAACACTTCCATATGAGCAAAATTCACCTACTGTGGATGCAGATGTTCAGGCAAAATAGTAAAGCTTCCCTTTCTGCTCCCATACACCATGCATCTCGAGTGAAAAATGTCACACAGATAAAAGTGTAGTTTTAATGGCAAAGCTACAACTGTACTTCCTCATCTTTCTGACACACATTTTTTTTTTCCAGTAAAAGGCTACACAAAGACATATCCCCATTTGCATAAGTGGCATATGCAGTTCTGAATCTCTTTCTAGTTGATGTGAAGTGCTCATTTGGAAGGACAGAAGGGGAAAACTGAAAAAAGAAGTTTCTGGGTAATGAATAAGGGTCTTACCCACAAGGACAAGAGTGAAAATATCCATGCAAGTTTTGGGAAATACTCTGAAGTCACAGACAGAGCTTAAGCTGTTGTATATATTTTTCCTGCATTACTTTACCATTCTCTTTACTTAGCAAAGTCTTTCTTCATCTCTTTCTCTCATATTGCTGTTTCTCTTTTGTTATCCTGGCCATTTGTTATGTGACTGCATTTTTTGAAGTGGAATTCTCAAATGATCAGTGGGTGCAAGAGTAGAGAGATCATTCGCATCAGAATAAATTGATTATTGGATATATGTGCACTGGGGCAAACAGCATTAGCAAATGTAAATAGGAGGTGTGATACAGGAAGGAGCTTGGTGAATAGAAGGAAGCACTTAACAGCAATTTTGTCAGAAGTCACAACTAAACTTCATCACAAACAGGACTGAATTAAAAAGAGGTCTGGGCACTGTGTGTCTTTTATTCACATTATTTAGGGGAAAAGAAAAGATCAAATATCTAATTATAATCTTCTGATGCACAGCCCAGTAGGCTCTGGCACACTCATAAGGAAGAAGGACTGAGTTAAGGATCTATGCACATTTTCCATTATTTATTTTATAGGGAAGTGAACACTCACAATTTCCAAAACTACACATTATGCACTTTTTTCTTTGTGTATCTTGTTTTCTTTTTTAAAGACTACTTGCTTCTCAAAAAAAAAAAAAAAAAAAGTCAGTTTTCTGGGAAAAAAAGAATATCCATTTGCCTTGACGTAGGAGTCTAAATGTTACCTTCTGTCCTAGCTGACATCAGTTCCTTCTACAGTTACAAATACTTTGTTGCGTTCTTATACTTTCAAAACCTTTTTTTAAATTATCTGTGAAATCTCTGGGACATTTTTGGTTTTCCACTGGGTTTGCCCTTTCTACAGTGCTCTCTTGGAGAAAACCAGGTGAGTTGAAAGGAGCAGTGCTCTACAACTATGATGAGAAACATCCCTAGCTCAGCCAAACTAACCTCCAAAGGTCCAGAACACATGTAAACTCCCTGGGTCCATTTTCATCTGGTACAAATCTGAAAAGTTTTGTTGGCATCAGCATTAGACACAGTTGATGTTGGCCTGACTCACTTTGTCCAATGAATGGCGTTTAGGGCTGAATCATCTAACCTTTCCAAAAGCTATGCCAGTTTACACCAGCTGAGAATCTGACCTAAAGCATTTTCTCTTTTTGACATCATGCTATAGGAAGGATTTTATGTGTGGTATAAAGATGCAGACAAACAAAGTCTGTCATTGAATTTGGAAGTAAGTTATGAACTCCTGGAGCTTCTGGAAAGGTTAGAAGACTCCATCCCAGCTAGCATCAGATGGACTAAGTGAGTCATTTCCAGACTAGAGGTGAAAACACACAGAGGGAAGAGACATAAAAATCCCCAGAAGGATGTTAACTCCATGAACATAAAAAGAAGTTCTGATTAAAAGGTCAACATGGCTGGTTTTGGAGAGAAACATTCCAGGATTTTTTAATATGGAGAAATATTATTTATTAACATTAACTGTCATATTGAAATGGCTGTATGAGCCAACATAAAAATTATTTCAAAACCTTCAAATGTCTAAATTTTGGAAGCATATGAATAGAAGTTAAACCTCAAAGACATTCACAGAATTGATTTAATGGTTTGTTCTGTAATGATCAACATTACCCTCGGGTCTAATAAGTAAACATTATGCTCTGTTGTGGTGATGAACTAAAACAATTGTCTAATGTTAGTAGTGCAGTGGGGGTGGGGACAAGGTTGACCTTTTCCATCAAGGAAAAATAAAAGTATTTCTCTCTCATCTTAATTTTGGAGTGTGATACTGCATTCCTAATTTGCCCCAAACTCCAACTGGCTTCCAGCATCCAAGGAATGTAGAACTGGACACAGGGTGGCAAGCTGCAGATTTTGTATGCAGTATATTGTTACAGATAGTGGTGGGAAATATAACGTTTCATGGGTTTTGTATTATCAGAAGGTTGTATTTCATGGTTGTGATTTCACTACCGTGTGATCTGGCCTATTTGGCAACAGGCTACATTTTATTCTGACTGTTTGAGTCACTTCTGATGTATTTCTCTTACTGTTCTTCCCAAGCTGTTTGGATAATGTTAACCCCAAAACAATCAGGACGACTGTTAACCCTCTGTTCCTTCTGATTGTTTGCTACATCCACTTGTGTTTTAATTAATTTGGAAGTTCTTTAGTGAAAAGACTGTCTCTTTGCTTGTATTTTGCATATTGCTTACCATAATTGGACTCTGATACCCACTGGGAATTAAGTGCCACTGTCATAGAAAAGCATATTGGTAACAGAAGGAAATATTGTACATGAATTTTGTATTTCAGCTAACTTTCATGAGACATCAATAATTGCAGATAATGTCATGGAAAACTTCACCTCAGAGGTTCTGGTAACAGGTTTAGTTTTCAGTTACCATATCACAAGATTAGCAGAATTCCTTGATGCAAATACCATTTTGTAACTCATGGTTCCCTAATAAACTTCCTATACATATTATGCTTTATAAAATCTACCTGAAATGGCTGCTGCAGTAAAAGTGTAGACCCCAAATTCACCAAGGAATTTAAGCATATGCATAAATCTAGGCACATAAAGCATTTCACCGGAGCCATAGGTCAGACCTCCTCATCCACTGCCCCGATTTGATACCATTTGTCTCATTTACCTGAAGGCCTGCTTACACAGTTCTGGCAGTGCAGTAAGGATTTACATTTGTGCAATTAGCACTGAAAGTCCTTTTACCCTGCTTTGTTGGTGTAACAGGTTATGAATACAAATGAGGTCCTGCCTTCTTATTTAAAAATAGCCATATTGACAATAATTGCCTTATTATTAATAGTATTATTTGGTTTGGCTACCACCATATCTAGTAGAAATTTACAGCAAATTATTGTCTAGAAGCAGAAGGCTCAAACAGTAAACACATAACAAGGAAAATGTCCTCACTAAAACCATGTCCCAGAGTTAATTAAATTGATCACTTTTTTGAAAAGGGGACTAACTTTCCCATTTTAGTCAAGCACTCTGAGAGTTATTATTATTATTATTATTATTATTATTATTATTATTGCTGCACTGCACTCAGCTCCTGAGCTCTGGAACAAAACCAGACATATTTATGAGAAGAAGAAAAGCACATTTGTATCATGCCAGAGAACCTGCAAAACTGTTGCATGTGTCTGAGTCAACCAACTCAGTCAACAGTGATTTCAGTCTTCAATTCTATTTTAGAAAGCGTGGAGTAACTCAGTCCTGAACCTATGCCAGGCACCGCAACAAAACCAACACTGCAAATGGAGCATCAGAGTGGGAGAGTTACACCCCTGTCATCAGCGTATGGTAGACAATAACATATGCATGAAAAACTGAAGCCAGAGGTGAAGTATGATTCCAGAACACAGCAGTTATCTGAAAAGTCTAAACATGGCAAAAATGCCGGCTACGATCTGCTACCAGGATGCTGCAAAGCCATGTTAAAAGACATCCAGGTGAGACTTCACAATGCACATCAAAAGACGGATGGTGAAGCATTTGTCATGTCAGATAAAAAATAGAGGCGAATAGTTCAATGCTCAGAAGCTTAAAAATAATACCTCATATCTATTCTATGTCTGCAGGAGAGAAAACTTCCAGGAACTGGTCTCCAATATCAGTACCCAGAGGATTAGTGGCTTTCAGAAATGAAAATATAACAAACTGTTTCCATCACTGGCTTCCTTTAATCTTGTACTGTACGTTCCTTGTAAAAACACTTTTTGATGTTACTTGTTCTTTGCTATATAGAGAAGAGGTTATTTCCCTCACGAAAGGAAATGGAGCTCATCATAAAATCAGAATGTCAGTGGAATGCAATGGAAACAGAATGATCAATGTAAAACGGTGATTTGCACTTACGTTCTGTTCTTGCACTTATGTTCTGTCTTTATGCACTTCCACTTAAATATCTCCTCATTAAGTGTTACTTATAGAAACAGGATGGTTTAAAGCACTAGACTATGGCTCCAAGATTTTGCTTCTGCTCTTAGCTGGGCCACAGACTTTTGGTATGACTTTAATTTCCCTGCTCCTCTGTTCCCAGCAGTAAAATGAAAGTAATAGTCTTCCTTTTCTTCCATCCTTTATCTGTCCCATCTATTTAGACTGGAAAAAAATTGGGTCAGGGACTAGCTTTCACGGTGCCTTAAACTTGGCTGGGGTTTCTGACTATTCTGTAATACTGCAGATTCTGAGTATACTCACTTACAGTCAGTTTCAACCCACACCAAAGGATACACTATATACTCTGTTTCTGACCATTCCCCAGTATTTCAAAATATTACGGTAGTATATATAACACAAATCATTACTTATAACTGTAGGAAACCAAATTTACAAGCAGGAAGACTGACCCATGGACAAATGAAGCTACTTGGGATGCTGAGATGTTGAGAGCGTGATTAAAAAAAGGTAATAACATGAAGAATTGCAGTTTCAAAGTTTGTTTCAAAGTTTGGCAGAGAGAGGACCAGAATAGAGCCCAGTCAAGGTTCCCTGCTCTAATGACTACATACACTCCTGATGCCTTCTTAGTTTTCTTTGTTTAAAAGGTTTCACAAGGATTAGTAGTAGTATCTTAGTGGGTATAATAGTGAATAAACCTAAGGCTGTATGGCCTCCTTCTTGTCACACGCTGGCCATGGATATTTTTTTGCCAAGCTGTAGGCAATGTATTCAAACTGCAATGAATGTATGATCAATACAAAGAGCATTGGTATTTAATGAGTGTTTTGATTGCCCCATGAAAAGAAACATCTTCCAGCTCCAAGGAAAGGTCTGCATTTTAAGTAGTCACCACTGTGTGGGGGATTTTTTTTTCCTTACTGTGTTTTACATTTTCTACTCAGTCATATCCTTGGACTTTGGCTTTGAAGAGAAGCAATGCAGCAGGCATTCTTTATTGATTAGCTGGTAAATAAAGTGGTTTCTTTGATGTGCGGCATCTCTGTTTTCTGTACAAATTGTATTATTCTGACTCCCTGTAGAAACAGCTCCATGTGGTTGGCATTAACATAAACCGAGTTTTGTTAGCTGTTCATCTGGCATCATAATCTCAATATACAAAGCTAAAGCTCGTCCCGAAAATCCCAGCTTCCCCTTTATGACAGAAATCAATTATAGCACAACAAATTTTACTTAGAAAGCACCTTTCACCAAATTCTCTGAGTGGTACTTAGCTAATAAAGAGTGTTGCAAAATTGCCATATCCACTTCCTCTAGCCCTTTCTCCCTTTCTAATTGCACTACAAAGGCTCTTCATCCCAATTAGTTTTGATTGGGAATGTGCAGTCTTTTGGCTCTGTTTCCTTTGCATGACAAACCCAACCAGAAGGGCATGACAGGCACAGCTGTGATTTTCCCTTCACCAAATGGAAATTAAAAAAACCCTCCTCCTCTGCTAGTAGCCAACAGGAAACCTGCAGACAAGAGGGGTACGCTTTACCATTCACCTTCCTGTGCTGGCTCTGGTTTTAGGCCACACAATTGGCAGGGCCAGACTCTTTGCCAGCTTCAGCAATCGTAAAAGACAAGAGGGAAGAGGGGAAAGGAAGAAGAGCTCACTTCCATGCTCTGTGTGATCATAAGCATCACAAATAGACAGGAATGGGTAGCAGGGCACCCCACAAGAAATAGTCACGTATCCCAGAAGGAAGATTATGGAGAAGGGCACTACCTACTCTGCAAGATGACATCTAGAATGTAAAGGTGGAGGTACCACTGTGATCAAGACAGATTGATGTCTGGGTAATAAAATCCCCTCCTCAGTGTCAGTCTACAGCCTTCTCCATCACCTCTGATGCTTCCCAGACATGCTGTGTTCCTTAGCAATAGTGTATTTCTTTGAGGACTAGCTACATTAATTCTTTCTTTCAGACCTCTCTATTTTCTACTCCTTGCTTGCTTGCAAGCGTAGCAAGCCCTTCACGGAAATTGTGCTTAGCAATATAAAGCCAGAGTCCAGCAGCAATACAATAAATGTTTTTAAGAAGATGCGATCAGATTTTTCCATTTTTCTGTTCGTTAGTTATTTTAACAAACTTCTGGAATGTGTTTGGCTAAGGCCAACCTTGCTTTGAAGGTCAGGGCTTTCACCTATCTCTAATGCATATAGGAAGATGACTAGAGGTTTCTCTTGGCCACACACTCCCTCTCTTGCAGTTTCTAACCATTAACAGTATAAGAGATACGACTAAATTACTAGCTCCTACAACTAATTTAGTACCCACATTTTCTGAACTCCCTACAGTGATCCCTATATATTCTGTGCAAATGGGCAAAATTCCTCACCCTTATTACTGTAAATCCACTGAGATTAAATTATTTCAATTTATCCACTCCAGTAAGAGTTATTCAGTGAAATCTTCATCCAATGGCAAAATCACTATTGACCTCAAGTGAAACCAGGGCTGGGCCACTGGGTTACAACTAATACAGAAAATGAGGGAGGGCCATGTTGCTCCTTCATGCCCTAAAACTGCAAGGATGATGCAGAGGTCATGTCTGCATAATAAGCCAAAGAAGTGCAGAAAGTTTTTTTGTAGAAATACTGAAAATACTTTTAAACCAGCTAACACTGGGAGTGATACCACTATAGCATGAGCAACAGGAACCTACTGACGGTGAATGACTCATCTACACTGTGCTCCAGGCTGCCATGATTTCATTACTTTCTGGACCTCAACTTACCACTTTCATGTTAGCTTATGTAAGCTGAAATCACACCTTTGAATTGTCCTCTGGACCGTCCCTTAGCCTTTTCATACTTCATCTCTGTCTGCAAAAATGGAGGTCACTCCTTGCCTTTAAGCATTGTTCTGTGGATACATTATTATAATTTGCAAGGTGCTGAGATATTTCAGTGCTGAGGATCTTTGACAGATACCTCTCCAACCCCCCAAAGGTACTTACCTTTCAGCTTTTCCCCAAACATAGTAAGGAAGACAGTGAAGTTAATAGGACCTGGCGCCTCCTTCACCATGTCTTCAAGCTCTTCATTCTTGACATTCAGACGACCTGCAGCAGAGATCATTTTTCATAATAAATCACAAATTGTGTTTCAAAAAATGATTCCCATTCATCTCCTCCCACTGGGGAGCTCAGGGCTCTGTGCAACTTTGCTAATAACATGGTAGAACACAACTCTGGAATACCCTAGTGTAAAACAAATTGGCAGAGCTGGCTCTAAGATCAAAGGGTGACTGAAGGAGTAAGAAGGATAAATAATAGGGATGTGGCCAGCAGTGGACGGAAGAAGGGGCACTTCCAAATAAATTGTTTTTCTTCTTTGTTTTTTTACCCCAGGTGAAATACGGGCCCCTCTGATATTAATATAGTAGAGTTCAAAGTGACTGAAGTGAATCCAAGGTCTCAGTCTTTGCCCTCCTGTATATTGAGATGCCTTTCGGAGTAGAGGGCAGATGGATGAGTTGAGTAGTTGCATCCCTTCCCCATCCTTGTGCAGTCCTACCGATGAGAATTTAGACCCTGGCAACTCTACTCAAATTGAGTGGTAATTTGCTGTCACTGTACTTTATAGGCATTGAAGGGCTTCACTGAACAGGAAAGATACCAGAACTTGGCCTTAAGAAATAAATATTTCAGGGTAACAGTAGCTACAGGCCAAAGTTTGCAAACCTTATTGTTGCAATAAAGAGTTCAGGAGCTTCTGCTCTTTGCACTGACTCTGCTGGCATCTGATTCCACCCCAGGGAGCACTAAAGATTCTTATCAAACTCTTTTTAATAAGATCCAGATGGCAAAAGCCCAAATTCCTACATCACTGTTCAAGCCTCAAATGTTGCAACAAGGATACAACTCCAGGTTTGGGATCAAGAACATTTTGATTTTTCCTTTCTTTGGGAAGTTTTTCTTTAATCTGCTTGATATTATTAGGATTGTGATGCACGTGGAATGGACAATACCTAATCTCATGACATGCACATTCCACCCCGCATAAACGCACAACAGCACAGAACCTCACATGAAGTCTTCCTGCTTTTGTGTGGGCAGAGGGGCAGCTAGGCCATGACAACAACGTTAATTGGTAGATATTGCATGGCTCCTAGATGAAAAAGGTGCAGCCTGTGAAGCCTGGATTCAGAGGCACATCAGAAAGGCATGGACCCCTGCTTGGGTGGGCTTTTTATGAAATAGTTGCAGGGGAGGGATCAGTGCCCTTGGAGAGTTGCCAGCTGCACAGCTCTGTTGCACCCGCCAGTGAGTCCCAGAGAGACCTTGATTTCATTTCTGAAAGAGGCTGCTCAGGAGACTTTCCAGCTGGAGCTATGTAGTAAGATAGCAACTACCATAAAGGCAGAAGATCAAACTGAACAGGTTTCCTTTTGCCTCCTGTGTATCTCATTACTTCTCCCACCATAACTCTAATACAAACTTTTCTTATGTGCTTGAAATTTAAACTGCATTTCTTTTAGGTATTTGATTATTACTACCAGTTTACCTAGTGCAGCAAATGTGTCTCTCAAGTCTGCTTTGTCAATAAAGCCGTCCCTGTTCTGATCCATGATGGTAAAAGCCTGTTGGAAGAAAAAGGAAAATTTATTGCCATTGCCATGTTGCACTGGACAGTGCTACAATCACACATACCAGTCCAGGGGGGTATTATATTCATGCTGTAAAGACGAATATTTAACTTCCTTTGACTCATCCACATCATGCCACATCATTGCACTTTCCTCACTTTCAACACATTACTGTATCTTGGCAAGGGGCTTAATTAAACCCACCCAAACTTCTTCTTACTAAATTAATGCTCAATGCAGCGTGTAGCTGGGCTGAAGCCAATGCTGGCAGCTCCAGCCATTCAGGCCTTAACCCATAAAAGTTTGAATTAGGGAGGCTTTAGTTAGGGAGGATTTAGTCAGTGGTTACTGCGTGTGTTTTGTACCTTTCCCATACCTCATTCCTTTCTGCAGCTATCATATTCTGTAAAACATTTAATTACTGTAGATCAAGCTAAAGTCAATTTCCTCTGGACCTCAAAATGATCCTTCATACAGAGATAGCTGAATTTTCGAAAGTACAGAGAAATGTAGCTTTCATAGTATTATTTATTCAAAGTTTGTTTCCCTTTCCAATAAATTGTATCCTTCAGACTGTACTCTGTGCTCTGACTGACCTTGATGTGTTGACCTTAAATAGTTCTTGTCAGGCAAAATTTAACTTTTGATAGGAAAAAAACAGTTATTTTTCTATTTTCAGCCAACACAGAATTTATATACTCTAACCATTATTTACCAAGCCAGCTAACTGCCTATCTATTTATTTACCTATTTGCATGTCTGTCTATTTGCTGCCATCACACTTTTAATGTTTCATTGATTTTGAAAGATTTTAATGACCTGAAATTCCCCTTATCATACTATGGGGAATATTAGTAGAACCAGGCATGTCTCTGAAGCTGGTTATCTGTCTGACATGCACATCAATATGAGAGTATATCTTTACAATGACCAGGAAGTATTCTTACTTCAGTGTTATTATGAAAGACAATGTGCTCCTGAGAATACAGCTAGTCCATTGCAGCTACAGTAACTTGCAGAGTTTTACAGTAACTTGCAGAGTTTTAAAGTCTGCTGCTCTACAGGGTGCACTTCTTTGCATGATCGTATTATATCAACATATTTTCATGTAGTTTTACCTCCAGTTTCTTACGAAGCCCCACTGCTCACATTCCAGTTTGCCCATGTGATTTCTTGCAGCGTGCATGTTCATAACCCTTCATTTACCTGCCAAACCATCACCTAATAAAAAATTAAGCCCAACTCTTTAGAGTTGCTTTCCCTCCTTTTTGGGGGGGCTTGCTTTAAATGGTGATCCCCAGAATTTGGAAGCAAACCAGAAGAAAATATGAAGAGCAAAGCAGAGCCCAGCAAGCTCACAGAAGACAGGAAGAGCGTTAGGTATGTATTGTAACAGGTGAACTTAAAATAATGTACTAACAGAAATGCTGAAACATTTTCTGGTGAGCTGGTTGAAATCTCTAGATAAAAATATTCTGATCAAAAACAGCTGTCCAGAAATACTTGTCCCATGTATGCAGTTTTTAGACACAACATGGCCTTGGTTTTCACTGGACCACTCCACTGCCTCATGCTTTTGCCGTTATTCTGCCACCATCCACCCAGAAAGGCTCCTAGTATTATCTAATTTAGAGTAGATCAAATATAGCATTCTGACCAGTTCTTCTTTTTGTCAGCACATCTTCAAACAGTACTCCTTGGAGAAAATAAAACTGCAGGTTCATAGAATATGGAGAAGAGGTGGGAGAAGAGTGTTAAACATGTTCCCATTAACTGTGGGGAAAAGGTTAGTGGTTTCAATTCATTTACCTGGGCCATATTCACAATCCTTTGCGTGGGTTTTTAGTCTCATTCACCACTGAACTTTACTGGTGGGAATCCTGATGAAAAGTAAAGTTGAAAGCCACATGCACAAAATGAAACAGTAGCTATTTATCACATTGGAAATTGCTTTGGAGATGTGAGTTAACAAAAAATGGGGAAAAAAAGAATAATTTAAAATGACAAACCAGTGCAAAATGTGATGGCCTCACAGACATTCTAGAATGTCCACTCGGAAAAAGAGCATAAACTCATCAAACAAATTATCTGTCTTTAATATGCTTCAGCTTTTATGCCAGCCCATTAGATTTACCTTCTCACAGGTAACTGGTCAAAGAATCTACAATGCATGGTAATACCGAATTCTTTGGGAGCTAAAAGATGCTTACTTAGTTCATCTCAACATGTTGTTTTGTATTATTGGCATTTATGGAGAAAGTTTGCTGAGGGCTTCTTGGTATTTTTGTTTCTAGTTTGTAGGCAGTATTAGAAGGGCACAGAAGAACATTTTCTATTGCTATTGTGGAACAGTCCACTAATTAAAGCCCTGGTTCAATAAGGCATCTCTATTCAGGATAATACTTGAGCATGTAAGACTATTCTTATTTGAAATACCACTTAAACCTAACTTTAAACATGTGCTCAAGTGTTTTCCTGAATCAGGGCTAAAGTGGATGAGATGATAATTTTCCTTTATTTTGGGGTGGGGGCTTGGGGGCTTTTCAAATAAGCCTAGAGCTTGAAACAGGAGAGTGAGGGAGGGACAGAAAGAATGAAAGAAAGAATGAAGGAAAGAACAAACAAACACACAAGGAAAATGATATACCAGCCAAAACCACAGAGATGATTCAGAAAACAACTGTGTGTTCTATTAAAGCAGATGGAGAATTGAATAAGGATTACAAACAAAACCTATGTTATTCATTAGCAATGACAGGAGACTATAGAGAACAGCAGAATAGTGACCAACCTCTTTGAACTCCTGGATCTGGGTTTGTTCAAACATAGAGAATACATTGGAACCACCTTCTATCTTCTTCTTTGCCTTTTTTGGAGCCTGTAATACAAATAAGAAGAAAAACATGTATTACTTTGTCTGTTAAGCACCATGAAAACAAATTCCATCTTTAATAGAAGGTAAAATATATACAGTCAAGTAATACAAGAGGATTGTGTTTTGTTATGACAAGGTTTTTAATTCAATCCAATATATTTATATAAAAATGGGATAAAAAATGCTGCTTTATTAAGAGAAGAATCTCTCACTGAGGGTTTTTGCCATTCCCTTGCTCTGGCCTGGAACCTGACAGCTCAGATAAACAAGGACAGCTTGTTACTGTGCTGCCTTAAAAAAGGTGAGGGACCCAAAGTGTGACTCTCAATATCACAGCTGGTCCACTGCTTCCTTCCCCAAGGAACCTCCTGTTCCTTGGGTAGAGTCACCTATGCCAGACCATTTGACGCAGGAGACTACTCCCCCTTCTGCACTGGCTTTTCAGAGCTCTGTACTACAGGAGGAGTGATGTAAGCTTATAGCCTCACTTGGAGGTGTAAGCTAAAATTCCCAACCTGCTGTTCTCAAGAAATACAAGCAATTCAGGTAAGTGGCTACAGGTACTCCTTCTTCCCAGTTCCCATACAGGGACAGGCAGCCAGACTCAAAATGAGGCCCTGCATGAAGACTCAGTTCAGGAACTTGTCGTGGTTTAACCTCAGCAGGCAACTGAGCACCACCCAGC